CCTGACCCTCCAACCTCTTTTATACTAAATAACCACCCAAGTATACAGAACACTTCCTGTAAGCAGTTGACCTGGCCATCATTGTGTAAGGGGGAACCTTTGAGAAGTGGATGACAAATACCATGCTAAACTACTACTAAAGTAACTCACTGAAACTGAAACCAGCAAAGACCCAATTAGACTCCTTCGAACTCAAGATTTACCAAGCAAACAAGTGATTCTAAATCCGATTGGATGTTGCCACTATGAAACACATGGCGAAACCAACCTGTAGTTAAGAGGCTGTCTGACTCTGATAGCTTAAGGAGTTAAGAGGCTGTCTGACTCTGATAGCTGACTAACTAACTGATCTAACTGAGAGCTGTTCAGTTTAGTACAGATCAATTCATGCATAAAATTAATTTCACCATAAACGAAATATGTAGACCGATATCACGTTGTATAAAAAAAATGTTAAAGATTTACTCTTAAGAAAAGCATATTATTCTATAAATGAATATCTTGAGGACAAACTGCAGTAGCTTCATATTTTACTTGTAAAAATGTTATTTTATGTTTTGTCATTTTTTTACACTGTTACACTGTGGATATTGTTTTATACACATTAATGTTTTTATACCAAATTCTGTATGACGTATCCTATACTTTATTTTGAATGTCTTAAGGATCAATAAGATGACATGCTATAAAGCTAAGTCCACTTTTTCTCTTTATGTGCGTTTCTACCGAAGGTTGGCGACCATCAAACGATAGGTTTCTATGTTTTGTGCCGCATGTATTATGTTCGCAGCTTCTGGTATTTGAAACCATTCTCTCAAGTTTCTCAGCCAGGATTTCTTCTTTCTGCCCAAAGCTCTTCTACCTTCAATCTTGCCTTCCACGATAAGCTCTAGCAGACTGTACTTATCATTACGGAACACATGGCTAGGTATGCGCTTTCCTTTTAACAGTTGTTAACAATTCCACCTCTTTACCCATTCGTCTTAATACTTCTGTGTTGGTCACTCTGTCTGTCAAAGGTATTCTCAGTATGCGTTGATACAGCCACATTTCTAGAGCCGCTACCTTCTTTATAGTTGCTAGAGTACATAGTAGAGTACATAGCATTTCGTGGCGCGCCATCTGAGGTTAACGCTTAGGTTGCGGTTGCTTAAGAGCTTTCTCATTTTGATGAATTTGGATCTTGCTATTTCAATTCGGATCTTAATCTCTACGTCTGGATCCCACTTATCATTTACAGTATATCCCAGATATATAAATCGGTGTACTCTTTCAATACGTTCGGCTTCAATATTCAGGTCGATATGTTGAATGTTCTTTTTACTGATCACCATAAATTTAGTTTTCTTTCTATTGATGTTCAGTCCAAATCGGTTGCCAGTTGTATTTACTATATTTAGCATCATCTGTAAATCTTCGATGTTAATCTATGCCATGTCCAACAGGAAAACTTTAGAGATTTGTTAGTTTTGCTATCCCCAACTGTTGCAAAAAGGCACACAAATTTTTGAGACTAACAGACCAAGCCGACCTCCAGCATTTTGCTATTCCAAAAGGTTAAAATCCTATAGCAGATTCCTCGATGTATTTTTAGAATTATATTCATGTAATTGGTAAATTTAGGTTTAGAGTTAAAAAACTTACAAAAAAGAATAGTAACAAAAAATGTGATATGCGAAGACTAAAAGATAAAGAAAAAAGGAGACAGTCGCACGGATTCTTTCAGAAAATCTAAGTTACATGGAGCAAACATATGACCCAGAAGAATTACTCCAGAATATATATGAAACCTTTAACAAAATCAGAGAGAAACAGAATAGAATATAATAGAAAATAAAAAGGAGAAAAAATTAAAGAATAACAAAAGAATATACATAAATATTCAGAGACGAATAAGAACCAAAATACGAAATAAAAAAAAATGGTCAAAAACACAGTGTGAAGAGATAGAGTTGTTGGACCAAAAACACATTTACTTAATATGCATAAAAAGGTAAAATAACAGTTGGTCTTCAAAAATCCAACACAGCTAGTAAACTGCAAGATCAACAGCATCTACAGATCACAACTAAATGATGGCAAAGCTCCTGGACCTTACAATGCCTATGCTGAACTCATAAAGCTATTTAATAACGACGGTACTCAACGACTAACAAAAATATTCAATGACATATATTTAAACGGAGTAATACCAAGATCATGGCTGAAATCAACGTTTATTGCTCCACCAAAGAAAACAAAATCCGTATCCTGCAATGATTTCCGGACCATCAGCTTAATGAGCCACATTTTCAAGTTATTTCTAAAAATCATACTAAAGGATATATAGACTATACGAAGAAAAAATCGGCCGTACACAATTTGGTTTTCGGAACGCACGAACGTTTGGGTACGAGAGGCTCTCTTTAGCCTATTTCAATGATGTAGAGATGTGAAAGAGTAAAAACATACACCTAACTTGGTACGAACGTCAATAAAAATTGGGACCATTCCCTACAAATAAAATCTAGGATAGAGAAAGCAAGATCTGCATTAAAAAATGTCCAAACTATTCAAATACCACGTTTTACCATTATCCATAAAAATCAGGTTGCTACGATGTTATATCTATCCTATACTGCTGTACGAAGTTGAGTCGTGGACTCTCACAGATGCTACTTGTAAGAAAACTGAGGCTTTCGAAATGTGGCTTTATCGTAGAATCCTAAAGATACCCTATGGATACCGACCACGTTACTAACCAGTATGTTTTATTAAAAATGCAAAATGAAAAAGAGTTGTTAACCAAGATTGAATACCTTGGTCACATCATGACGAACAGCGAAAGATAAGGGTTGCCACAATTAATTCTTCAATGAAAAGTAGAAGGAAAACCTGGATCAGGAAGGCGAAGAATTTCGTGGCTGAAAAATCTATGTATGTGGTTCAACACAACAACCACAAATCTTTTCACGATAGCAGTTCGCAAAATACAGATTGCCATGATGGTCGCCAACATCTGAAACGAATAGGCACTAGAAGAGGAAGAAGTTTTAGATGCGCACCAACTACCTGCTGGTAGATGCTCAGTGATACTAACTCCAGTGTTTCCCAAGGGGGGCTCATGTCCCACAGGGGGACTATTCCCCCTGTTGGAGGAGTTTAATCCTTTAGCTCCGAGCCATTTAAATGCAATGCTAAATTTCGGTGTCAAATTTAAAGAAAAAAACAAATTCTTAAATATTTGCGATAACTAATTGACACAGACGAGATCAAGATATCAACCAGGTGTTTGGCGTTGTCAAGTAAACTTCCCTGTGGCACTAGTCAGGCTCCTTGGGAAACCATAACCTTTTAAAATCTCGCTAAACAAATTAGTTGTTCGCACCTGAATGGCTCACTGCAACTTCTGTAGTGTTTCACAACATGCAGTTGGTGTTAATATAGTCATAGTCATCTTTATTGATCCTTTAAGACATTCAAAATAAATGTATAGGATATGTCACTACAGAATTTAGTATAAAAACATTAATGTGTATAATACAATATTCACAGTGTAAAAAAAATGACAAAACATAAAATAACATTTTTACAAGTAAAATATGAAGCTACTGCAGTTTGTCCTCAAGATATTCATTTATAGAATAATATGCTTTTCTTAAGAGTAAATCTTTAACATTTTTTTTTTAAATCTAGAGATAAGTGGTATTTCTTTCACAGTTTTTGGCAAATGATTGTATAAGGTCAGTCCCATATATCTGAAGCAAATTTGGATGTTCTGTGTTTAGGAACTCGTAAAGATTCAGCACTTCTTGTATTGTAATATATTTATGTGTCCATCAAAACTGTAAAAGGTCCTTGACTTAATAAATATATACATTGTATAGATATAATTGGTAACTATTTGATTTTATTTTTATGTATTTAGACAAATGGAAAAAATATATTATTTTGCACATACTTTAATTTAGTTTTTAATTGATCTTATATTTATGTATTATAGACCATAGTAAAATGAGGGTGAAAGCAAGCAAAAACTAGTCAATATTCAGAGGAATATTTAAAATGTAGGTTCATACCTGCTGTCCACGATGAGCAGATTTCTTTTTGTCTTTTATGACAAATGAATGACCAATGCATCAATGAATATTTAAGGTCATCTTGGGGCACATTTAAAAGTGAAACATAGTGCTGATATTAATTCAGATTTGTTTTACTTTAAAACTTAAAAGAAAAATTTTGAAAAGAGAACAAGATTAAAGTCTCTAGTTACTGCTCATACTTCAACTAATAATTGTGGTCTTGAGGCTAGTTATCAAATTTCTTTATTCGTCGCTAAAACTGGAAAAAATCATACTATAGGAGAGAATTTAATAAAACCTCAATCAGTATTCTTAAAACAGTTCTTGAAAAAGATGACGAAGATGTAAAAGCAATGCCATTCAGTAACAATACTGTTAGCAGAAGAATAGACGAAATGAGTGAAGATATTGAAAAACAACTTGTTGGAAGGCTGAAAACAAGAAATTTCTCAGTGCAAATGGATAAATCAACTTTTGAGAGACAGTGAGGCAGTATTGATAAGTATATTAAGATATATGGATAAAGGGCATTTTGCTGAAGAAATGTTGTTCTGTAAAAAATAGAAAGCATCACTACCTCCACAAAAAATATATATAATAAGCTAAAAAACTACTTAGATGTCAATGATATACCAATGAAAAATATAACATCTCGTGTGTAATTGATGAAAGATGCAAATCCAGAAATGATTTTTGGGTATTTTGTTATTCATAGGGTAAACTTGGTAGCTAAAAATATCTCTCCTGTTCTAAATGAAGTAGTACATTCAGTAATAAAATGCTATTAAAGCTAATGCCAAATGTGAGCATTTCTTCAAGCTATTTTGCGAAGAACAAAATAAAGAACACTGAAAAAATCATTATTTTCGTTTGATAAAGAGGAGGAACATGTAATTTACAGTGGACTTCTTAGTTTTTTTACAAGTTTAAAATGTTCAAGGTGAACATTTTACAATTTAAGTACTTAACAAAATGAAATAAAACTCTGGTTTTATTATTGAAATTGTTGATATAATAGTTTCACCATTTTATGATCACATAAATTAAGGATTCTTTAGTTATCTATCATAACAATAGGTCTTTTAAATCACTGTCTAAGGATAGTAAAGACAATATTAACAAAAAATGGCTGTATTTATTACACTACACTTGACACAAAACTGTAATATTAAACTTAGTAACCTATCTTGCTAGAGCTTCCAATTCCTTAATTTCTTTTTCCGCAGCAGCTTTCTTTTCAGCGGCAAGTTTAACATCACGTTCTGCCTTAATTTTATTTTCTACCTCTCTAATGCCTGCTTCCTTTTTGGAGAGCCTATTTTGGTGGAAGGCTCCATAAGCAACTCCCAAAGCAAGAAAACTCCATCTTCCGAACTAAAAACAGAATAAAAGATTTTAATATTAATTTTAAGACTCGAAAATAAAATTGGTGAAATAAATGAGGTTATGCTCAATTATGTAACTGGAATCATTCTGAAAAGTAAAATATACACGTTAATTTTTTTTGTACTTGTTACCTTGATTAAAGGAGAAACACGAACTGGAGCTGGAAGGGCAGACATTATTAGGGCTTTTCTTGTACTTAAGAAAAAAAGTCTTTTGACAATGAAAGTCAAATGAGACGAAAAATGAAGTTTTCTTTGATTTTGACGTACAAAATAACTCCTTTAATGTTATGCAACCACCATTCACAAGTATCATCTGAAGTTAAACGCATGTCAAATTTCAAGTACCAGGACCGTAGGTTTCGTATAATTTTAAAAGGCTTAAATAATATTAAGAAAAATAGACATTTTAATAAAAAATGAACAAAATTGATCTATACTATTTGCGATTCAAAGTAAAGTGCAGTCAAAGAAATATATATATTCTTAAAATTAATGTACTATAAAATATGTTACATTAGAATGTAAAAAGAATATTTCAAAATACTGAATATTTGAATTTACATAATTATTAATACTATGCAGCTACAACTGTAATAAAAATAGATTGTGGTTTATAAAATTGATATGGGCAAAAACTTATCACAAGTTTTTTTTATACCAGAGGAAAAAAATAACATAACTACTTTAGAATTTATCAAAAAATAAATAAACAATACAATTTTTTGAGGTTCAGACATTATCTGGACTTAATTTGCTTTCTCAAACCAAATTCCTGACTTTATGATTTATTTTGGAACAGTTCCTGTTTTAATATATAATATAATAGAGTTATTAGTTTTGGACCGATCAGGTACAGATTTCTACTATTATTATTTATCTATGAGGCACAGATGTCATTGTGTGGTCAAGCAAGTTACAGATGGTATTGGTATTTTCTTGTACATTACACTGTTTTAAAGTCCATAATTTTTATAATATAATTTTAAGCTATCTGCAGAGGTAACAGGACATTTTTTGGTACATAATATGTCCAATCAGTAATGCCATATTTAAGGATTAGAATTTTAATATGTAAAATATTTCGCCACTCGTAGAATTTATAAATTAACTGGCTGATCCGGCAAACTCCGTATCGCCTTGGAATTAAATATTGTGTCAAAGTTCAATAACTGCAAATTAACCGACAACCAAAAAAAAATCAAAAGCATTCTGTACGAAAAAAGTTGAATCAATTTAACGCTTTTTGATAAACAATATTTGTGGCTTTTTTTGATGTGCGTAAATATACAACGATGACGGTTTTTCCGATGCGCGAAAACGCGACGTATGCGAGAAACGTGGAAACTCACAAGTTGTAAACTTCCATCGATTGGTCTTGCGATTTGTTAATCGTGATTGCAAAAGCTAAACGCACGGGAAATTTTAGATGCTTTGAATCAAATGGTAAGTCCGTTGGAATCATCGGTATATGCGAGATCAAGACATCCTCTCCTTTGTATTTTCCCTTGTTGATCGTTGCGTCAATAACATTATTCATTAGCGATTACTCAGTTAGTTTCGTTTCCTTGCACAGTAGAGGTTGATTAATGTTACACAGCTTAATGACAACTGATCCTACTTTTAATTGTAAATTATAGTGAGGAGGGAGTCAAAGCAATTTCAGTGGATTCAGAAACTCTGTGATAGTTGACATTGTATCTTGTTCGCTCTTGTGTTGGATATGTACGAACTTATTCCATTCTAAGCGTATCCATTTTATTTGCTGTTATTCTAGAACGCAATTCTGACACATTAATAAATATAAACTTAAAAAAATTGTTTTCAGCACCTTCTATACCAATTTGAGATAATCTGTTTAACAGAAGTTTGTGTACCATAGTGTCAAAATGTTTTCTTAGTCTCAAATACTTGAACAACGTTTTTCTCGTTATTTAAATGTTTTAAAAATGTGTCACTCTAAAGCGTGTTCTATATTTACGTACATTACATACACCAAATTTAAAAGCGTTTTTATGCTTTTTATGCAAGTTGCGCTTGTTGAGGAATATTATTAGTTTGTGTTTTATATATGTTTCTATGATTTAACTAACAGTGCTAATATAAGCAATTTGCTTGTAGTTATTAGTCAGTTTATTATTACTTTGTTTACATGGAGGCACAATTAACAGCGTTTTGGGAACTGCTGGATACTCACCAAAAACATTAATAAAGATATCATGTTATGATACAGCCGTTTTAGTAAACAATGTAACTCCCTTTTATTATTTCTTAAGTAACATCATCAAAGATACTAACATCTTATTTTTAGACTATTTTACGTTATCTGTCTGATTCACAGGCAGACCTAACGTCATAGAAGGGTCTAGTTCCTTCTGGTACATTCGTTGGAAATCTCTAGAACAGCATGGTCAAATGCCATTTGTTCTAATTGGTGTATTTAGGAAACCTAACAACTTCTGCTAATTTATTACCAACGTTTTTAAAACATAAGTTACTCATTTGTCGTCACTGACAATTTGTTGATTATTTAATTAATTATCCTTATATATAACTTAATTTGATTAGCCGTTTGTTGCTCTTTTTTATTAATATTAAGAGTCTGTTGACTTGTAATTTTCTATTTATTACCATGATTTAAAGATATCATTTGCTATATAATTTCATTATTATTTATTAAAAAACTAATAGTATGAGATTAAGAAGTCCTAAGTCTTAATGAAGATTAAGAAGAAGGCAATTATTGTGAATTATTCAATAGAGCAATAGAGTAATAGTTACACTTCAAGATAAGTAAAAAACAAGCGAATAGGGCAGCTACTATACAGAGCTAAGAGATATGTATATTATATAAGAAAACCTACGTACGCAAACCGAGTAAAATCCAAATAAATAATTCATGTGTAAGGTTAATATTAACTGAACTAGAGAACCAGGAAAGATGAAACAAAAATGTAAATTCAATATATCAGGGGTATCGAATCAAATCTAGCTACATCCATCGTGCATTATTTGACAGAAAATAAAGAAACACTAATTTTTGATGGCAGTAGTTAAAATTTGAAAATTACTGTTAAAACATTTAAATAAAAGATACTCTTTATTATTGGTATTACATTCAGCATACTAGAAGAGCAAAACATGCGCCAAATTCATAAAAACTATTAGACGCAACCTGTTTAGATCCCGAACGTTGGACATGGCAATGCTTGATTCCAACTTCATAGGATTTGACCAAGTTTGATCCCAACCAAATCTCACCGGCCGGACTCAGTACAAAGTGTTAAAATACATATTTAAACATCCCCGCTGTCCGGGGGTTCGTATGTTCTCGGGCAAAAATTCAGCAATTTTTATTACATCGGAATAGAAACTTAATTGTTCCAGGTTTTGTCAGTCGTCTAAAAAATGTTCTAATAGCAGATTTTTAACGTCCCTTAGTTTTAATACCTTTACAGGTATGTTTTGTCTTATTTTCTGAGGATAATCATACTCATAATTTTAGATTTCCGACAAACATTTTCATATTTTCCCTTCGATTCTTATAAAATCTCTCAGACTGAACCAACATATTTCTGATCCTCTTTGATCGTTTTAAATAGAATCTTTTACACTGCGCAAACTGTATTTTCCACTGTCCGGGGGTTTCAGTATTGTTTCGGCTTCCTTTTTGAAATCATACACGATGAAATCTTGACCTACTTTTACAACAATTACCTGCTGTGAAATTATATCGATGTACTGATTTGGACTCAGTATTGTCTCTATTTTACGAAATTCCTTTTCGCTGTTTCCAAACACTCTATCTGCTGGAAGATAGGAGTAGTCAGTTACTGGAAACACCAGTTCTACTATTTTAATAGAAGGATGTTCCAACACCCATTTGCAACAGATCGTAATTATGATGGAATTTTTATTCTGGCCTCAGCCGTCTGAGATCAGTCTAATGGTAGTGATATTGGTGAGATACGTCTTTTTAGGTGGTTATACACTGCAGATGCTATAGTATTAGAATTTTTTGATGAAGCGTTCTCTGTCCAAACGTTTGCGAAAACGTTGTTTTTATAAATGGCGTCTTTGAAGTTCCTTCCACAATGGTAAAATAAAAAAAATTAATTGCCTGCTATAATAACACGGAAGATTGTAGCTTTAGGAAGATTCATGTTTTTTGACAATCATAAGAAATTATTTTCACACCCTCTTGTTCTGTCTTGAGCAGCGAATAGAAAGCTTTTACCCTCAAGCTATGAACTCTTTTTCTACTTTGAACTGATCTTTTTTCCTTTCATCTTTCTCTGTTTTTATTTTTTCTAGTAGTTACAGACATGTAGAGCACATATCTGTATTACAAAGCAAATAGATCAGCTATTTGCTTTGTAATATCCAAATCATTGCAATGCAAATCCTAAATTGTATTCGGTGTTGAAAATATGTCTGAAGTAAGATTCTTTTGCCGGTGCTGAACTTTCATTTTTGTATAGTTTGTACAGTTTTCGGATATTTAGATCACTTGGCAAATATTTATGGACTGAACTTTGGCTTCGACAATAATGTGGTTCTGAACACTGAAGTTTGCGAATAAATGCATGAACTGATGCTTTTTCAGCCTTGAATAGGTAGGCTTTACGGTCTCCTGCTCTTTTTTCTTCTGGAAACTCTCCACTAACGAAAGGCTTTTGAACCAAATTTGAGACACGTCTTCTTTTCAAACAAACGCTGCTAAAAATTTCTTCTGGCAAACACTTATAGATTGTTTATCGACTTTTATACGATATTTCATGGTACACTGCTTGGTTGCTTTTAATGTAGTCTGATCTCCAGTGTCAAGTTTCTTGGTCGTTTTCTCTTAATCGGCAATGCTTGACAGCATTTTAATATGATTGCATCTTGGTCCGATTTGACAAGATTCTGATAAAAAGCCGTGTGAAATTGTTGTAATATTTTACCCGTCACTTTGGTTTTATCATCACAACGTGGTACTGTTGGCAAACTCTTTGCAGAATACCTAAAACAAAAGTATAAAAAAATAAAAAATACAAAATTGTTTTTAGCTCCACGATATCATAAGTCGCAAACTAAAAGAGCTCTACCAAACACCCATCGATATTAGTTATAGATTATACTAGTGATGGGGTTCTCAAATAACAAGAATCAACGAGTATTCGATTCCAGAAAGTCCTCGAGAATTCTCCAAGACTTAAGCCAAAGTATTCGAATATTGACTTGCTGAGGAAGCTGTCGCTATATTATTAAGGTATTTGGTCTGGGTACTCAAATGTCAGCAGTTTTTTTTAAACGAGTTTTCCG